TTATTATTAGTTGCATTTGCACTAAATGTGATGTACTTTTGCGATTTATTCTGTAAATAAAATTACACTACAGATACTCTTTGTAAGAAATACACTTTACTTTTAGATAAAGGCACTGGTACTTCACTACAGCTAGCCCTGCCCAATCAGTATTGTGAGAAGGCTTCCTAAAAAGCTACGGAAGCACTTGCAAGATTGAAACATAGGTATTAATTGACCTCTTAATAAAATAAAAAATAAAGGCAGCTTTCTATAGGCCTCTCAGATTATCTGTGTTTTAAGTAACTATTAGATCCTTTCTTGACCAAAAATCTGGAGGATTTTTATGATTTTGTAAAATTTCCCCTTTTTCCTGAACCCAACTGTTTTTTCCAGACACTGCCACATGTATGTGCACTCTTGAGTTCACTTCATCCTGTTAGTGGATCTGTAGCATTTATACAGCTATGATTTCCTTTGCAGAAGAAGCCCCTAACTCTAGGAGGGACGTTTCTTGAACCAATTTGGAGGGCTGAAAATGCAGCAGTCTTCTCCATTAAATACTGTTTTCTGAATATCATTTTGGGGAGAATTTTGTTGTTGCTGAACTAGATCTGAAGGAAATTACTTGACAAAACCTTTAAGGGGAATGAGGATGAGCAATAGCCACCATTATCCTGTCTGAGAACCTGAACATCATACTTGGAGAAATTTATCTGTGAAAAATGTGGAGGGTGGAGGGAATTACCTTTTACTTAATTGGGCTGAGCTGGCATATCTGAAGTTGTGCAGATTCTCTTTAAACTAATCAGATTGTCCACCTGTATTTTTGTCAAGTTGTACAGATAACACTGTATTTGAATTGCCACTGTTCATCTACAGACTCAAAACATGAATCATATTTTTGAGTACTTTGAGTGTGTAGAGTGTAACTGTTATATAATAGCTTTATAATCCTAATGATAAGTTTTAAAAATTAAAAGTTGGCTCTTCCATGTTACAATCACAAATTTAAAACCAGTATTTAAAAGTGAAAAGTATTAAAAAAACATTATGAAGAAAAACCCTGGTTTGTAGTTATTTTTAACTTTTCAGTGCTCTAAGGAAACTTACTTAAAATGTTTTACCTTGTAACCAACTTTCAGATTGTGTATGAAGCTGTATACCATACTACAATGTATGTACAAATTTAACAGAAAGTAGCTTGCTTGTATTATTACTGGGGTTACTGAAACAAAAATTTGAATGCCACATTAGCTGTTTATATATGAAAAGCTCATTCTGTACTATCATATCAGAAGCATGTTAAAAAATGTTCCTGTACAGTATAGTTTTAATATAGAGTACTTCCAAAGTTGTATTTCAGCTTTTGTGTTTGTTTATACAGAACTAACAACTTTATGAAGCTCCCATGTCAAGAGTGGAGATCCAGGACTGAGAAGTGCCAAAGGATAAACTTGTGTTTTTCTCCTAACATACAAAGAATTTTTAAGAACTGAGAAAAACTTCTGCAGAGCAAGCTTTTTTAATAGCAGGAAAAACTGATTCCGTAGTAGATCAATAATCCTATCAGTATTGGTTATGCAGGAATTTCTACTTCTTACATAGTTATCAGTAAAGTATGTAAAATTGGAGAAATAGCATAGACAAATAGAAAGCAGATTACTTACGTGAGAGAGGGGGGGGGGGAAAAAAAACACCTTTAACTCTGCAGCATCAGGCACCAGCTGTAGAGTCCTTAGGCAAGCCCTGCCCTTGAATGCAGCTTGAAAAAAGGAAATCTTTTCCCATGCAACCCTACACTCTTCCCCTTTAAAAAAAAAAAGAAAAAAAGTTACATTCTTGGTCACATGTAATTTAAAAACAGAGGCTTCCTAGTATGGAGAAGCTAAGCATTGCTGTAGTTATGATACTGATGTGAGTAATTACAATATAATTTGACCATGAATTACTCAAAGCCCCCTCCAAGCCTGCCTTGAACACTCCTAGGGCATCCATATCTTCTATGGGCAACCTGTGCCAGTGCTTCAGCCTCACCTCCGAGTCAAGACTTAAACCTTGAATCTAATTCAGTTTAAAGCCATTCTCCCTTGTCCTATCACTGTACTCCCTGACAAAGAGTCCCTCCCCATCTCTCCTGTAGGCCCCCTTTAGGTACTGGAAGGCCACCATGAGGTCTCCCCGGAGCTTCTCTTCTCCAGGCTGAACACCCCCAACTCCCTCAGCCTGTCTTCACAGGAGAGGTGCTCCAGCCCCTTGATCACCCTCACGGCCCTCCTCTGGACTTACTCCAACAGGTCCATGTCCTTGTGCTGGGTGCCCCAGAGCTGAACACAGGGCTCCAGGTGGGGTCTCACAAGAGCAGAGCAGAGGGGCAGAATCACCTCCGTCACCCTGCTGGCCACACTGCTTTTGGTGCACCCCAGGGTACGGCTGGCTTTCTGGGCTGCGAGTGCACATTGCCAGCCCATGTGGAGCTTCTCGTCAACCAGCACCCCCAGGTCCTTCTCCTTAGGGCTGCTCTCAAGCCATTCTCTGCCCAGCCTGTATTTGTGCTTGGGATTGCTCTGACCCAGGGCCTTGCACTTGGCCTCGTTGAACCCCATGAGGTTCGCACAGCCGCACCTCTCAGGCCTGCCCAGGTCCCTCTGGATGGCAGCCCTTCCCTCCAGTGTGTCGACCACACCATGCAGCCTGGTGTCATCAGCAAACCTGCTGAGGGTGCGGTTGATCCCACTGTCCGTGTCACCACCAAGGATGTTAAACAGCACTGGTCCCAGATGCAGACCCCTGAGGAACACCACTCATCTCCCACCTGGACACTGAGCCCTTGACCGCACCTCTCTGGCTGTGACCACCCACCCAATTCCTCACCCCTTGTGGTCCATCCTCAAATCCATTAATACCAATCACTGGTTAGGGTTATCCCGTGAAGTTTACTGGTGTTTATAGCTAAGATCATTATCTTTAGTCTTCAGCTGTAAAAAAAAAATCATAGGATAAAAGCATATTTCATTAGATAATGCTCAAAAAGCACAGCCCTTCTCTTTACGTGCCTGATTATGTCCACTTCTCTTGAGCTGTAACCACTGATGCAGTAAGGTTTTCCTTTGCACACCCGCCTCTTCTAAGAGACTACAGCTGTAACAAGGAAGGGTGGTAGCATGGATTGCTGCCATTTTCAAGGTTTAAACTAATTTTCTTAAAGTGATTATTTTAAAAAGATTTGAGGGGGGAACTCTAGACAACAATAGCTCCAACTATTGCATGGCCTAAGCCTCACTTTAATAATTAGGACATTTCTATTCAGCAGCCTACTCTTGTTTGACAAGGTCTGTCAGACTCCCCAGGTGGGATTTTCCTTCTATCTTTATGTGTACTTACAGGTATGTATCCTTGGAAAAGCTACCACGTGATGCCCAAGAATTCTGATCTATTGAGTTTCTCTCTAAAATTTTGTGTGATGAGACAGGCCATGGATCTTGGAAGTCTGTGGCAATCGATTCCTAGGTAGTGTAGCACTGGTTGGATATGACGATAGCCCTGAAGAATCTCACCACATGGGGTGGGATTGCAACTGAGTCACGGGAACAACCCGGTGAGTTCAGCTTCCTGGCACAGCCAGAGCCCTGGAATTACCCCTCAGCCCCGGGAAGTCACGTGTGACAACACTATGCTAAAAAAAAAAAAAAAAAAAAAAAATTAAAAATTAAAAATGCAGACTAAAAACCCCAGGATAGTGTGCTGTCCGATGAGTGCCAGTCATGTGTGAGTCACAGGTGAGTGTGAGCAAAATAATTGTAGGTGTATCCATACCCTCCAGAAAATACTTTGAGTCTGAGTGTTTTGAGTCTAGCAAAGTCACACAGCTCACCTCATTGTTTCCATTCTCTTTGAAAATCGTTATGAATTCAGCATAATGGCATTCTTTAGCCAGTGTTACGATACTCAGTTATTCTCATGCCTCCTTATGTGGAGCATGCACTCATTGAGCACGTTACTCTTTATCTTGATCACGTCCCAGTGTTGAAAATTTTAGTTGTTAACGTACTCGTTCTAATACTGCCCCAGAGCTGAACGCAGGGCTCCAGGTGGGGTCTCATGAGAGCAGAGCAGAGGGGGACAATCCCCTCCCTCGCCATGCTGCTTTTGGTGCAGCCCAAGATATGGTTGGCTTTCTGGGCTGCTCATACATGTGGCCGGCTCATGCTGAGGTTCTCATCAATCTGCATGTCACCAACACAGATGTTAAGCAGCGCTGGTCCCAATACTGACCCTGAGGAACACCACTCATCTCCCACCTGGACACTGAGCCAGTGACTGCATCTCTGAGTGTGACCATCCAGCCAGATCTGAGTTGTCCATCCATCAAACCTGGGTCTCCACAATTTGGAGACAAGGATATCACATGCAACAGTATCAAATGCTTTGCACAGGTCCAGACATGGTACTTTTGTTGGTTTTCATTTTCAGTGTCACCTGTCAGATGGGAGGAATCTTAATACTAAAAATGTACTTGCTGCTCATTAACTGGGGCTGCCATGCTCAACCTCAGTGAGGTTGATGGAATAGCACTTAACAGATTTTTAAAAACCTCTGGTGGTTATAATATTGGTAAATTGTTTTATAATTCTAGCTTCCGTAATATCAGAAACAGGTTCATTATAAACTATTCTTTGTCACAGCTGTTTCTGTTACATACACTCTGTCTTATTAATTTATCATAAATAGGTATACTCTTGCTCTTCTGTGCTGTGCACAGTTCCTGGTTTTATGCTTGTTATAAACACCTCTTGCATTAAAGGATATCAGTTTCATGTATTATTTAGAAGTGTTAATAGGTGGTATACAAGAATAGTACTCTAAAAACAAAACAAAACTGCACTGAGGTGTAGGTACAAAGGCGTGTGAATTGCACTAAGTTTCATGGATTACTAGGCATTATGCTTTCTAGCACGTATTTCCCCAACAAGTAGGGGGGACGCTACCAATACTAGTATTTAATGATGTTTTGAATGGCATTGTTTTTCTAGAAGTGTCTCATTTTATTCAAAGAATCACAAAATCAGAGAATTGGAGGGGTTGGAAGGGACCCTCAGAGAGCATCGGTTTCAGACCCCTGCCAAAGCAGGTTCACTAGAGCAGGTAAATCACATCCTTTTTTTCACAATCCGCAAACGTGTGAAAAAATACTTAGTACCTGCAACTAGCAAAACATTGCTATGTAGTCCCTTACTCCCCTCTCCATGTTTTGATTTACCCTCAAAAGGTATTTTATAAAAACAACCCTGAAGGTCCCTGGCGAAAGTAATGCTTAGCTCCCCAGCTTTTCAATCACATTAACCTTTTAGGGTCAATTTTCTCCAGATGCACCAAAGGCTTTAGCTGCTCTGCAAAGTTCCTCATGTCATCAGAGACCACATCCTGTCCAGCTGGAGCCACCACGTTAAGCTCCACAAGGTAGGAGAGGGAGAGCGGCTCAATGTTATCCGTGTTGCCTGGCATCAAGATGCGGAAGATCTTGTAGACCACGATCTTCATGATGCCCTTGCGGAAGACGTGCCCCTTGGCCACGAACTCGTGGTCCATGCGGAAGCCCATCTCCACCAGGAAGTCCGTCAGGTTGTCCGACGTGGCGATGTCCACGCAGTTGCGCACCAGCGCGTGCCGGTTCTTGTCCCCGATCTCCGGCTGGCCCAGGTAGCGCAGGTGCCAGGGCATGCCGCTCTTGTCGATGGAGCGCCGTGCCCGCAGCACGAAGGGGCTGGCCTGCTGCCCCTTCAGCAGGAACACCATCTCGTGGTCCAGGAAGGTCTCGGGCTCCATGTTGTCGCACAAGCCGCGCAGGCGGTGCAGCAGGCTCTCCAGGCTCTGGTCCAGGACACTGCCTGCAGCGGACAGAGACACAGCGGCTGTTGCCAACACCCCACAGACACTGTACACCCCAAATAACCCCAACACCGCAAATACCCCCAACACACGCCCAATACTCCAAATACACCCCAAATACCCCAGATACCCACCAAATACCCCCAAAACCCCCCAAACACCCCCAACACAACCCAAATACACCAAACATACCCCTAACACACCCCAAACACACCGAACACACTCCCAACACACACCAAATGCCCCCAACATACCCCAAACACTCCCCAAGCACCCCCAACACATCCCAAATACCCCAAATACCCCAACCACCCCCCCTAACAATCCACAAACACCCCAGACACACCCCAAATATCCCAAACACACCCCAAACACCCCCAAATACCCCAAACACACCCCCTGCACACCCCAAACGCCCTCAACACACCCCAAATGCCCCAAACACCCCCAACACACCCGAAATACCCCAGCCACCCCCCTAACACTCCACAAACACCCCAAACACCCCAAGTACACTCCCAACACACCCCAAATACCCCCCACACCCCCATACCCCAAACACACCCCAAACATCCCCAACACAGCCCTAGTACCCCAAACACACCCCAAACTCACCCCAAATACCTCCCAAACACCCCATGCGCACCCCAAACACCCCCCAACACACCCCAAACACCCCCCGAGCGCCCCCAAACTCCCCACACAACCCCCCCCCGGGCCAGGGCCGGCTGCCAGCGGGGCGCGCACCCTGCAGCAGGTACTCCATCATGTTGATGGTGCCGCCCGTCACGGGCATCATGGTAACGGGGGGCGCCTCCATGCTGCGGCCGGCGGCTGGAGGCAGGGAGGGAGGGAAGGAAGGAAGGAGGAAGGAGAGGAAGGGAAGGAGGGAAGGGAAGGAGCGGCGGCAGCACCGCCCCGCGGCTCGGAGGGGGGCTGCAGGCAGCGGGGAGCCGAGCCCCGAGCCCCGCCGCCCCGCAGCGCCCGGCGCTGAGGGCAGCAAATGGCGGAGGGGCGGGCACGGAGCCGCCTCAGGGGGCTGAGGGCTCGGGTGGGTCCCTGCTGGTTCTGCCCCACGCCCTGAGCAGCGGTGCAGCACCAGCAGTACCCTGGGCTGGGCGAGCTCACCAAAATTGTGGTATTTTATACCAACGATACCAATATACCAAATGCCACATTGGTAGTTGGGGTGTTGGTGAGCACAGGTGGCTGCCCCCAAAAACAAGGCGTCCCGTCCCCAGAGCCCCGCACTCTGAAGGGCACCCTCGTAACTGCACCCCTGTGCCTTAAAAGTATCTTCCAGCGGGCTCTTCTTTCTGCCCTCGTTGAGGACGAGACGCAGCAGGCACAACAGGCAGTTGGTCAGGCAGATTGAGGTGATGGATGGAGAGAAATGCAGATAGAAATAGAAGCTCAACACTGTATTTCCAGCCTCCTACCTAGGTTCTGTTCCCTTTAAAACTCTCATTATACATCTGTCTGTGGAAGGGAGGCTGAGTAGCAGATGGGGCTGGGCCTTTAACTCAGCTCCATATCACATTGCGAATGCACAGAGCAGAATCTTCCCTGCAGAGCCCCTGCAGGGAAATTATCTCTGCAAAACAGGCAGTCCAGCCTCATTTATATGTTGAAACAGCATCAACAGCAAAGGGAGGGTCAGCTGAGTGTACGCTGGATGTATTTATTTTCTTCCTTGTTATAAAACTTTTTTTTTTTTTTTTTTTTTTTTTTTCATCTCACAGTCTCACAGCCTTTGGTTCTGAATCGCCACTTTGTCACCTTTGTCAATCAAAACTGCTTTCAGAATGTGCACGTGGCATTTTCCATTTGCTGGCACTGAATTAATAGCAGAAAGCCTCCCACCCCACAAATCTGACTGAACAGTTGTTAAAATTAATTACTCTGCAGTTATACAATAGGCAATTTATATAGTGCATTGATTGCACAATTAAAAATTGTAAAAGTTGTTGACAATTTCAGCACTAGGATAACTCATTAAGAGATCTCATGTCTTAGCAGGTAACTCAGGGATTTGGTAGTGCTCAGCCATTTTGCCACAAACAATGATGTGTCACTAGCTGAGCTACCATCTTAAATTATGGGCATAAATTTACAGCATAAAGACAGTGATAGAGAAGGCAACAAACATCATACAACTGATGACATTGTCAGCCTCATTGTAATACAAATTATGGCTTATTCTGCGCTACCTTGCTAAGCAGGAACATTTGTCAAGTGAGATGATAGTTTAATGAGATCCAAGTGACTTCCAGACTTGGCTGTGTCCTTAAACTCTTACCACCAGAGCAAAAACTAAAGTTGCATGTAGTTTTCTGTGCTATATGACTGTCCCTCTCTGGATCTTACATTACCTTTGTAGGCTGCTTTGTCAAATATCAAAGGAATTGCCATGAGAACATCTCTTCAGTGAGTGTCAAGTACTGATTTTCTGAAGACTAACCCAGAAACAATTTTCAGATTGGAAACCCAAGATAGTTCCTGCAACAGTACAATTCTCTTTAGTCAGAAACTGTGCCAAAGTAATACATCTCCATGTGGCTCATTTTTCTCACTAAAGATAAACTCAGAGCTGATATTCTCTAAAGTTGAAGTAACTTTAAATATTTTACTATCATTAAATGGGATGAGCTAACACAGAGCAAGGTAGTCCTGTGCCAGCTCTAATATGCAAAAGAAAGAAAATAAGCTGGACTGCTGTACATATTTTTACACTAGCACTTGGCTTGTTCTGAGTACCTTTTTAAAAAGTTGTGTCTTTGGCAATATACCAGTACACAGTATATATAATAAAGTAGGCTTAGTATGGGCTAACCACTGACTGAGGGGAAAAAAAAAAAAAAGTGATGGTAAAACTACTGCCCCCTTATTTTAATGTATGTATAATGTAAAAATATTACTTTCAGTCCAGCTTTACATAGCTCTCTGTCAGCAGGGGTGACTGCCTCCTCAGAGTTCCTGAAGACCCCTTCTCTGAGACTTTGGATTAATAACTATGTAGTCTACAACATAAAGGATTATGTAGTGTACAACATAAAGGAAAAGGTTTGTTGTGTGGGGGTTAGCAGGGCTGATCGATAGGGCTCTAAACTAGTTATGAAGGGGGAAAGAGAAAAATGGGCACACCAATGATAAGCTATGGGATGGTATGCCAAAATTTGAGGGACTGCATGCTAGTGAGATCCTTCACTCTGCTCCATGAGGTGCTGGCAACAATGAAGTACATGTGAAATGTTTCTGCACCAATGCAGGCAGCATGAGGAATAAGCAAGAGGAGCTGGAAGCCTTGGCTCAGTCCAAGAGCTACGTCATTGGCATAAGTGAAACCTGGTGGGAAGAGGCCTGGGAGTGGTGTGTTGCGATGGATGGTTACAGGCTCTGCAGGAGGGACGGGCAGGGCAGGGTGGGTGAGGGGTGGCAGTGTCTGTAATGGAGGGGCTGGGCTGTATGGAGCTTGCGGTTGGCGAGGACACACGTAAGAGCCTCTGGGTGAGGACTAAGGGACAAGCAAATAAAGGGGGTGTCACCGTGGGAGTCTAGACCATGTTGCTCAAATAGTTGACAAAGGGAAGATAGTTGAGGTTATCCTTTTGGATCTATGTAAAGCTTTTGACACTGTTTCTCACAGTATCCTTCTGGACAAAATGTCCAGATGAAACATAATGCAGTGGGTGAACAGTTGGCTGACTGGTTGGGCTCAAAGGGTTATAGCAAACGGGGTTATTTCAGGCTGGCTGCAAGTCACTAGGGGGTTTCTCCAAGGCCTCATTTTAAGGCCAGTTCTCTCCGATGTTTTCATAAATGGCTTGGATGTGAGACCACAAGCTGTTTTGAGGAAGTTTGCAGACAACACTAAATTGGAAGAAGCTTTTGACTCTGTCAAGTGTGGGCAGACCTTGTGGAGAGATCTTGACAAATTAGAGAGCTGGGTACTTGCCAACCACATGAAGTTTAACAAGAGCATGTGCCAGGTTCTGCACCTGAGATGGGGCAACCCTTCCTATACATACAGACTGGGAAATGAGGGGCTGAAGAGCTGCCCCACAGAAAGGGATCTGGGGGTTCTGGTCAACAGCAAGTTGAACAGGAGCCAGCAGTGTGCCCTGGCAGCCAGGAGGGACAACCCTACCCTGGGGTGCACCAGGAAGGGATTGTCCTGCTCTGCTCGGTGCTGGTGAGGCCTCACCTCAGTACCATGTGCAGTTTTGGGCAACACAGTGTAAAAAGGACATAAAACTATTAGAGAGCATCCAAAGGAGGGCTACAGGAATGGTGAAGGGTATAGAGGACAAGATGTATAAGGAGCAGCTGAGGTCCCTTGGTGTGCTCAGCCCCAAGCAGAGCAGGCTGAGGGGAGGCCTCATGGCGGCCTGCAGCTCCCTCACGAGGGGAGCGGAGGGGCAGGCGCTGAGCTCTGCTCTCTGGGAACAGCGACAGGACCCGAGGGAATGGCATGGAGCTGGGACAGGGGAGGGTCAGGCTGGGGGTTAGGGAAAGGGTCTGCACCCAGAGGGTGGTGGGGCACTGGGACAGGGCAGTGGGCACAGCACCAAGCCTGCCCTGCTGGAGTTCCTGGAGTGTTTTGACAGTGCTCTCAGACACATGGCCTGATTTTTGGGTGGTCCTGCGCAGACTCAGGAATTGGACAGCATTATCCTTGTGGGTCCCTTCCAGCTCTGGGTATTTTGTAATTCTCTGATTCTAGCTCACCCTTACTGTGGGACTGCTTTCCGTTTGTTCTCAGAGAACAGCATTTTAACACAGTGTGAGGGCAGAGCAGCTTTGTTTTCTCACCCATGCCCTTATGATTCTCCAGCATCCTGCTGAAGCAGCTGGGCAGTCAGCTAGGTAGGGGCTTGGTTGCCAGTCTCAGTCACCCCACCACATCTTTACAGATAGCCTAAGAGTCCTAGCAGGAATGCTGTTGGGTTCTGTGACTGGGGAAGACCCTAAAAAGCTGGAGCTAAAGCCCTTAGTGTTCCCTTAGTAGATTATGAAACTGACTGTATACATGTATAAAGCAGTGGTGAAGATGGGACAGTAGGTAATTTTGCATTGTAATGTATTATACAGTGCAAGGGCCCTAGAGCACTCTAGATTAAGGGAAGCTTCAGAGGCAGACCTCCTCCCAGAGGATGGTACAAGGCAACGTTGGGCCCAGCAGCAATCTGTGTAGGAGGACAAGACTCAGAATTGTCAGCACTAGGAGCATCACTGGAAGCAATTGCAACTAAAGTAAGATACAGCTGCCTGAAATACAAACTTCACCTGAGGCAACAGAGAGTATCTACGGAACAGAGATGCTGTTGCAGGAATAATGAGGGCACCGCTTGAAACCCAAACTGTTGTCTCTCTGTACCAGCAGGTGTCATGCAGTGTTACTGCCATAAGCAAAGTGATACAGGAAAAAGGAGAGAACCTCAAAGGCGGTGAGACATGCCCCAGAAGACAGGCAGGGATGATACATCTTAAAAGCACTATGAGCAGCAAGAGGTCTCACTTCAATTTGAAAGGCGGCTAGGAGAGGGAGGGTGGGCCCTCTGCCAAAGCTTTTATCAGAACTGTATTTGCATTAGCAGCAAGGGTCATGCCAGGGATGTGAACTGTCCAGACAGTGCTGTGCATTGACATCCAGAATCAGTCTGGATGAACTGAAACCCTTTTGTGGGAATGAAGCTGATTCACAGCCCCACTCTTTTCTGGGAGCTGGCATGCCTGCCAGACAGCTCCTTGCTGGGGGTCTTTGCTAACACACACACATTCAGTAACCAAGAAAGTGTCTGCTACAGGCTTCTGGCAGCACACCTATGTTAGGTATG